TATAACTTCTAGTAGCTTGACTTTGAAGGGACTTAATTAACCAGAACTTTAACACGAGAAATTAAAGTTAAGGAAGGCTGTAGTTATGATGTGGACATAATTGAATGTCGACTAGAAGAAACTAATAGAAAAAGTTGAAATGTAGTTAGATGTGTAAATGTATATAGTATATATTATGTGATGCATCATTTGTGTTTAATAGTAAAAATTTTAAAAGACTAAATTTAATCCTTTTTTTTTTTTTTTGGTACTGGGGATCGAACTCCGGTCCTTGCACTTGCACAACAGTCAGTGAAACCACTGAGCTAAATCCCCGGCCCATTTAATACATTTTTGATTAACACTTTCTTGTAGGAAAGAAACAGAGTCTAGAGCTTTTATGACAATGGAAAAACTTAGAAAAATATATGAGAAATAATGGGAAAATGGTTTAAGAAAATTAAGTACTACTAGACTGAACTGAAATTACTGACAAAAGATTTTAACACCAATCTTTACAGTTGTCTTATTTTTTCCCAGCAGGGCTCAGCAACTGTCTTAGTTATCTACTGCAGTATAGCAAATTACCCTAAAACTTGAAGCTTAAAATAAAAACTACAAGAATTTGGGGGCTCTGTGGTTGCTTCCCTCTGTGTTTGTTGCTCAGGATCTTTCATGAAGTTATACTCAAAACATAGTTGCTGAAGACTTGATGAGGGCTAATGGATCACACTGGCTCCTAATAGGGCTGTAGCAGAAGTTTTGTAAATCTCCAACAGGACCTTGCCATATGGTGTTCACAACACAGTTTCTCCCCAAGGCAGGTGGTTTGAGAGAAAGAGCCAGAGGCAGAGAAATTGAGGATGGGAAATCACAGTGACCTAACCTTGGAAATCATATGCCATTCCTTTTCCATTTTCTGCTTTCTTACACAGATAAATCATAATCCAATGTGAAAGGAGAATGCATATCAAGAGCCAAGGATCAATAGAGCCAACTTAAGGCTGGATATCGTAGTAACCTAGAGACATGAAAAGTCAAATTCACATAAGTGAGTTGTTTTTCCAAGTGAATAGAAAGGAAAAATGTTAAAAAACTGAGTACAGAATATTAAGAAGACATTGGATAAAGTATTGGCATATAAAATTTGAACTATAAATGAAATAAAGAGGATTTGTTAGACAAAATAGAAGAGAATACTAGAGTTGGATAATAATGGAGTTAAATAACTAAAAATGTGTTTAGTATTTCAAATTCTGGAATTAGGAGGAAGGGTTATGGATACCCAAAATAATATCAAAAACATATCTAGAGATGATTGAAAAAATAATTGTAAAGTGAGAATGGTAACTGTTAATGTATTGAAAATATTAACCATCAGTGAAGTTATATTGTATTAGAAGTGACAAATAGTTCAACACAAAGATGGAGAGAAGATATTTTTGTCATTAGTGTAAGTATCAAAGTAACAACATTTACTCTTTACTCCTATGTAAATGAAACTGCACCAAAGAAGAGGATTTATAGACACAATTTCATGTTCACTAGATGTATAACTTCAAACTACTTCACAGAAAGTAATTTCCTCATTAAAAATTTATTTAATAATAAGAATAAGAAGGAAGAGCTTGAAGACGTAGAATAAATTCTTATCCACCGAATTGGGTTTTCAGGGAGCATGTTCCATAAGATGAGCACAAGATAGAAGCAAATGTGGACCGGAAGAGCAAGGGTGTTTGTTGACTATTTCGAAACTCTCATAGTGGGAATGCCTAGTGATTATTAGGATATAAGATAAAGTGGAATTAAATAACTAAACTTAAAAAGAAAATGAATCCCAATATTCTACTTTTCCCCTGGTGTCGGAGTGAATGTAGGCTGTCTAGGAACTCTGCCTGAGATTCAGGATTCAGCTGAATCCCTGGATGGAGTCTTCTAAAAAAGTTCAACTAGAGAGTGGATGCAAAAGCCCTGTTATTTGGGGAATTTATGTGAAGATATCTCATAATGTTGGTGGTGAACTAAAAAGGACTATTGTAGCAATGACCAAGCCTCTACTGGGTCATGATACTCTCTGAAATGGATAATAAGTTTATTTGACATAAACATGAACAATATAATATAGTTGTACCAAGAACTGATAATGCAATTTAAAAAGATCAAAGACTTTTTTGACCCTGCCATGTACAAGTTTTACACAATTGAAGAATTTATTTAACCACTGACTTCCACTGAGTTTGGTTTTTTTATTGCAACATTATTAAACTTTTTGAAAGTGGTAGTAGTAGTAGGGGACGCAAGAGAAGAAAGAATTTACTAATTTTATGTCTATTTTAAAGAATGATTCACAGATAGAATACTCTATTATGACATTCTATAGTAAGTCATCCATTATTTTGACAAGATTAAAAACTAATTTTTTTGAAAAAAGAAAATATGTTTAGTTCATATTTATATTTTTAATGTCTAGCACAAAACCTAGATAATCATAGACCTAAAGCACTATGCAACAGATGATATTCTATTATAAATTATAATAAGTGAAAAAGTCTAGTTGAACATTCTACAGAGTTACAATAGTTACTGTTAAAACTAGAGGGGAAAGATTCTATTTACACTATGACTTTGCTGACTCGGTACTTATGTACTGTATTTATGTTTTTCTGTGTATATGTTTTTTCTATGAATTTAGTTTCATTATGCTTTGCAGATTAGATTCTACCAAAAGCAACTGAGAATTGTTCCCATTTAATTGGGAAAAAGGTTTTTGAATCCTGACTCTTGCCTTCAAAATCATCTAATTTCTTTAGAGATAGGTTTTAAAAAAACACATCTGCAGATCTTATTAGTATCATTTTGCTATTATCAGTAATTACTTACATTAATAAAATAAGTAGGATCAAGTATACCTGCTTGCAAAAGTATACATTTTCAGTTCCTTGGACTTATCTCACTTCTACTAATTTTCTTCATTTCATAAAATTTTCTAATGCACACTTAATGTAAATTAGATGAAAGTAGGTTTCAGATTGTTTGGGGACTTGTATTTTCAGTCCTTAATGGTCACAACAACAAATACATACTTATGAATTTTTCTTAACAAAAATTTTTCAAGGCCTCAGTATTTTTACTTCCTACTACCCTCAGTCCTTAGCTTTGAATTTCAATAGGAAAATAAAATCTATGAAATGAAAAGGAAAATCAATCTTCTTTTATTTAGGAACAAATTAAATTCCCCTTCTAAAGTAATGATTTTTACCTTAAAGCAGTGATAACTATCTTGTTGCTGTCAAGGTTTCTCACCTCCTTATCTCACAACAGTTAACCTTAATATTCTTCTCACTTTCAAACTCTTCCTGACTTAAAGCTCTTTAAGCACTTCTGTTAGGCTTGATCATTTATTTACACTTGGCCTCTAATGGAGTTAGTGTTACTTTGAGGATGTGAATGGATTCTGCTGAAATCAAGTTTTATGCTCTAGAACTGATGTGTTCTTTTTTCTTCTAGGCATCAATACATGTGTAAAATAGGTTTTCACTATGATTTTGTATCTTTCTCTAATCAAAATGAAAGTATTTTAAATTCTAATTGTCCTTTCTTTTGGCCTTCTAACATTTGAAAACACCTAGTGAACATGTTTACAAATATGCAAATAAAATAGTAAGATGCCAGGATCCCAAACTAAGTATGTATTTTTTCAATGAAAAAATTTACATTTTTATAATTTCAAGGGAAGTTCTGAGCATAGTAATTTTATCTATGCGGATAACTCAATTTGTGTCCTATACTTCTGTAATATCTTTAGCCATTAAATAATGATAGTATTGCTTAAGTCCCTGACACTTATTATAGAATATATAGTATTCTATAGGCAGTGATTTTGTAGTTGTCATATTTGAAAATGAGAAAACTTTTATGTAATCATCAAACTTTATTGCAATTATCACTAGTTTTATGTATGTATATTTATAACTTATGTTTATATAGGAAAATGACTATAATGTACATTTGTACATCTATATGTGTATATTTACAAGTCACTCAATCATCTTGTTTTCAAAAAGCAATACCTTTCTCCTTTTATATTAAAGAAAGTAAGCCTCTGAGCAGAACCTGAGCCAGGCAAATCAAAGGAAAAGAAGTAGGATTGTCATAAACAAGTGATGGGTTGTTTTCCTATGGATTCCTCTAGTTGTTAATTAAAAAACTACCTTAGCATTTACAAGGTCATAGCGACATTGATAGCATCTACTGTTAAATATAATGGATACAATACCTACTGAACACTTTAATCAACATGTCAATTATTTTACCTATCATTTACATAACAATATAATCAGGTAGGCAAAAGAAAAGAAAATTAACTCTTCGTAAAATAGAATAATCTTTTCAGTATCACCATAACTGATAAATGTGAAGGCAGGAACTGTGACTCAGATGTCCTGCATGTTGTATTTATAATAACCCCCAAACAAGGGAAAGTGAATACAAAGGGAAACAAATCAGAGACACATAGAGGATCTCAAGACTCAGAAAAGGCTTTTCTCCACCAAGCTCAAGAGTAAACCTGTACTTCTTTTTAATCATTTTCATCCTTATTTACACTTTCAGTTTCTCACACTAGAGAAAATAATTGATAATCTGAAATAAGAAAAGGTAAAAGGGTGTGGGGTTGGCAGGAGGGGAAGGGGAAAGGGAAGAAGGGAAAGGAAAAATTATGAGAAAGAAAAGAAAAATGGAATCAAAGTCTGTGTAAATAGGGAAGGGTGGAGGGGGTGAAGGGCGCACAGGTAATGAGAGAAAAAAATAAGAACCAAGATCCATCATGTTCAGGTACAAACACCCAATGATAAATGTAAATGTATTGTATACTTAAAATGTACCAATAAATATATAAATAAAAAATAAAAACCTGTACTTCTGAATCAACTCATGCAGCATAGCAGAGCTGCGCAGTTCTGGAATCATTTGGAGGGGGCAGTGGAGGGGCCTGACTCCTGCTCCTGGTTGCTGATTCACATTTACTGGAAGTTAGGCAGCGAGGCCAAGTAGGAGCCACAAATCCACACTGAGTACTCGTACTTAGGAGAAGCAAAAGTCTTGATATTCATGCTGCTGGCCATCCAGGCAGTGTTCTCTTTCTTCATCTTAACATGGATATCTGGGTACATGGTGGTGCTGCTGGACAGCATCAGGGTGGTGTACAGGTCCTTGAAAATGTGCACATCACATTTCATGATGGAGTTGAAGGTGGTCTCATAGATGCCACAGGACTGCATCCAAGAAGGATGCTTGATGGAGGACCAGTGGGCATTGGAATGGAAATGCTCATTGGCAGTGGTGATTCTCTGGTTCTCAGAAAGCATGTGGCCATTCTCCAGGGAGGAGAAACTTGATGGTGGTCATCCTTTGCTCAAAATCCAGGGAGAGATAAAACAACTTCTAAGGTCACACAATGTCTGACTATGCTGTGGTACTGACCCTGTTATGTCAGGTCCTGGACATGTAGGTTCAGATACAGGATAGTATGAGAAGGACTTAGCCCTGAGGATTGAATATGTGTAAGTTAGTGATGCTATTGCCAAAATCTATGACAGTGCCCATGGTGAGCCCAGAGGCATAGGAGGACAAAACATACTGGATTAGCCCCTTACATGGCCACTGTGTTCAAGGTCTCAAACATGATGTGAATTGTGTTTTCTCTTTTGGACTTAAGGCTGAAGGGCTCTTGGTTTGCAGCACATGACATGATCCTCAGGGGCCACACAGAGCTTATCATGAAAGGTGTGGTGTCAGATTTTCTCCATGTTGTCTAATTGGTGATGATGTTGGGCCCAAGGGGCAAGACTCCAGGGTCAGGATGCTGCAGTTGCTCTGTGCCTCATCGCCCACTGGTCCCTACCCGCCATTATGCCCTAGCACCGGCGACCTCTGATGTGGTGGTTAATTAAAGGCCATCCCGAATGGCAATGCCTAGGTGAAATGAGTTGCTGTGGTTCTGGAAAAGGTATAAAAACAGAACGGGAGGGGAAGATTTTATATTATTTCTCAGAGAGAAAATATATAAGCTCATAGAAGCTTCAGTTGTTCTCTTCCTCTGAGCTTCAGTCTTCTCCAAGGACTGTTGTTTTCTTGGGAGGGGTTCTGGTCTTCTCCCTCCTCTTAGGTGTCATGTCTCAGTTCTTGGTATCGATTCTCTGGCTTTCAGCCTTTCAGCCTGCCAGTGGATTCTCTAGCCTCTGGTCCCGGCCCTTGGACTTTCCAGCACAGATCCTTTGGTCCCCTATTGTGGATTCCTCAGCCTTCTCACCTGGACTCTTGTGGGACGGGCCCTTGGTTGGATTCCTTGGATCACTTAGCACGGACAGATGTCTTGCACTCTTCCACATTTGACTCTGTGGGAAAATATTATAAGGCACTCTTATGAATTTCGGCATCCTATGTTAAATGTATTTTCTTCCAAAACACTGACTGCTACAGAGGCAAGCACAGCCTAAGGTGTTACTCCCTGGCAAATGCAGCTTTGCTCATGGTGGAACCATTGTCAGGGATGACCATGAAGATTTCTTCTTCTGTTTCAAGAGAGGAACCGGCAGTAATTAGTAGAATCCAGAGCACCAGCCAGACACAGTGAACAACGACATTCTTATTATTAATTTCTTATTATTTCTTCTTATTATTAATGTTGTTACTTATGTTTTTATTATTAATGTTGTTACTTATGTTTTTTAAGACCACACATTAGAGATTTCTCTGTCACTTTATGTTCTACTTTTAAATTACTTAGCGATTCTTGGAGTTCAATCAATTAGAAAGAAACATAATTTCCTGAATTGACTTTCTTTCCTAATTACATATTCAACTGTCATTTATGACCATTTTATATCCAATATATTTAATTCAATGTCATCTCAAATGATTTCTAAATTTTATATGTCTTCCCCAATCTTTCTTAAACATGGTAAAAATATGTTTATACAATGTAGACCTATTTTCTTGCACTACTGTCTAAAATTGTCTCATGATTTTTATGGTTCTTGACTGGCAAACAAACTACTTTTTAGCTTTATTTTTTGATAGCATATATTAGGTGGTTCCCACTGAATACTACTGATGATTTCTCCCCAAATACCATAAATCTTCTATATTTTTGACAGAAGTTCTCCTTTCATTATTATTTGGACTTTAAATCCAACTCAAATATTACCTCTCCTATAAAATCACATTCTTAATCCGATAAGATGAAAGAACATTTTATCTTCAATGCTTTGATCAAGTGAGATCTTTGATTTCACTTCGGTGAATGTCTGATCAGCAGAACTACACCACTAGAAACCTACATCTTCTCCTCTGGAAAGTATTTGGCTTATCCTCGTCACATTTTTGCAAAAATACTCTATGTTTTCAGGCAGCTAAATGACAAAGATTATATAATTATGTTTTTTTAAATTGAAGCCATTATTGTGTTTGTGATTTATTATATTTCCCCTCATTTTTCTTAAACTCTTTACCCTAAGAATACACAACAAATAAAACATCAGATTATTTTGGTTTCCTCTCTATTTGCCATAACTCAAGTGTAATTCCTTTACTTGAAGTTGATTTATAATCCTACTTGCAGTTAGCAACACTCACCACATTTTTTAAATTAACGTGCTATCAAGCAAATAATTTATTTGCTTAAAAATTGACATTCACTATGCGTAATGCAATATAATAAAAACTGAGACATATATATAGTATTTTATAATAATCTGATTTATCAGAATTAGCTACAAGGATATGTACCAGCTCATATGTATGGCCAAGGTAACCCTAACTGTTATCAGACCCTAACATTCAAGTACCCTGAGACTACCAACATCTTCAAATAATCCATCACTTTCTTCTTCAAGGAATGTATCATAAACAAAATATTTATTTTCTCTCTCTCTGATGATAATATGTATTTTGTACTCATGTACCTTCAGCAATTTATGCTCCTCCGTCATTTCTCAGTTTCTGGATACATAGATCACACCAGTAGTAGTGAAAGTGAGAACGTAGCAATGATGGTGTATGTTATGTCCAGGAACCTTCAAGACAACTGTCATTGGTCACAGCAGTTGTGGAATCTTCCAGCTCCAAAGGTTCATTTGTGTCCCTACTTTACTGTAAAAATACTGAGGATAGCAAGGGCTGATAATTGGATATCAGCAAACATACTTGGTGATTAAAAGAAATGTTAAAGAAGGGAGGTGTAAAAGAAGCTAATTCAAGTGGGAGCTCAAAATCTTAATGTGAGAGTTGTTTGGTATACGATTACAGAGGTGATAGTTATTCATACTAGAAACATGTCTTAAATAGAATTTAGGCTATATATATTGCTTCATTAGATTATGTTCACATATGACAGTGGCTTTTATCTGTCTTCTATTGATTCTTTTCTCCCATTTTTAAAAATTAAAATTAGAATTTATTTTATATCTACATTTCTCTGATATTTTAGTGCCTATTCTATAAACTTGTCATTAGTCAATGTTATATTGAAAAAATAAACACAATAAGTTAAAAGGTACATTTAGGATAGTAATATGTAGGCAGGCCTACTGTTTACATCTTAAATCTTTATTTCAGTTTAGACATATGGATAGTTTTTAAAAGTTTAAAATTGGAGATCTTTATTCCTCTGGAGAGAATACAGAGTACATTTTGCCAAAGGTAACCACAGCTCTACTTCTCAGCTTAAAGTTTTCTGGGACACAGTGTCTCTTACCTCATGCTACTGATTGTTGGCAAGCTTCTTAGGTAAGAATGCTTCACTCTTGGGGTAGGGACAGTTACCTCGGTGACAGTAAAGTCTGAAATTTCTATGCTTCACATGGAAGTTAGTCAATCATTGTTTCAGTCAAATAATCTGAAAGCCAGAAATTGGAGAAACAAAAACAAGTTAAAAAAATAAATTATCACTATTTTTAAATGTATATCTTGAATTCAACAATGGTATAAACTAAAAAGTGCAAAAGATAATGAATAGATATTTCAAATTTTATGTTGTAATTTAAAACATATAGCTTTTGGTAAAATGACGTTGAAGAACATTAAATGGAATTTAAGAAAAAAGCTATTTAAGTTCTTCTAAAAATCTATGCTGGAAAACAAACCAAAATAAAGACCTGATATATCAGTTACTCTGTTTTCATTACATGGCAATAATCCAATAGAAGAATTATGTAGCTGTAGAAAAAGATCTAGTGTAGGAGCCACAAAACAACACATACAGTTTCTATATACTGGTCAGGCACCCCGTTGCTGGGACACAATAACCAACACCCACAGTTTAAGAAGGAGAAGTTCAATTTAGCTCATAGAGGATTCTGTCTATGGTGGCAAGTGCCAAGGCAATGGCATTGTGGTGAAAAGGCATGGCAGAGCAAAAATACTCAGTTAATAGCTTCTCCGCAGCAGAATAGAACAGGACCACCCAGTGAACAGGCCAGAGACTACAGCCAATCCTTAAAGTCATGCTTAGACGACCCACCCAAAAACACCAAAAGGACCTCCACCAATCCCTGGGTCAGACCCAAAACTAATCCAGCTGACACTCTACCCTAACAAACACATTGTGCTACGCTATTGATTAGTATTCTAATCTCTAACAAAAATGTATCTTTTGTAGGCTATACTTAATCTATAAAGTAAAAATTCTGGACTAAATGTTCCCTCACTTCCCTTTCATGTCTGGTCCTATATGATTCTCAATGTTGCATCACATATGCAAATGGACTGCAGGTGGACTTGTGGCTCATTTCTATTGAATGTCCTGTGGGTAAATTTGGCTAAAAAATTAATTCAGAAGTTAATTGTAAAATTTCCTTGTTCCTAAGAGATATTTTGTTTTCATTTAATAGCATGAGGAAATTTTTTTTTCTCAGAGAAAATTGTTCTGTAAAGCTTCTTCATAATAAATGTTTATTTGTCACATACCATATTCTTTATATCTGTTGGGAGGAAGCTTACTTAGAATTTCTTGTTTACCTGAATAATTTTATATGAGCAAGACTAATGGAAAAGGGTTTCAATATGAATTTTTAAAACTGCATTTAGTGCAAGTTATGATCCAGAAATTCATGATAATTATCATCTACAAAGAATAAACATGATAGTTTAAATATTACTGGTACCTAATAGATACAAAGATAAAATACCAAGATAAAATATACAAAGGTAATGGGTACAAAGATTTTATAAGTGTTTTTACTTTAAAATGAAATGATAATTTGTGAGTATTATTTTTTTAATAATATTTTAAAGAATGAACTGAAATTTTAGAAATTTCAAAAATTCTTGTGCCTGTAACAGGTATGTATAGACAACATCCATTGTC